CCCGTGGGATTTGGAGGCGGAAGTGCTCGCCGAAGTTTATCGGCGAGTGGCTGACTCCCGAGCGGAGAGCGGATTTCGCCCTCCGCCCGAGGATGTGCGCGAGTGGCGCGAAGCCGCTCGCCGAGCCACGATGGCTCGTTGGTCGTTCCGGCTGGAGACTCCACGCGCTGGCTTCGCCGCCGTGGAGGCTCTCCAGCCGGTCATCGCCGAGTGGGCAGGGCGGCAGCACGGGACCCTTTCCTTCCGGCTGACGCAGGTGCTTTCCGGGCACGGTTGCTTCGGAAAGTACCTGCACTCGGTCGCTAGGAGGGAACTGAGTTCCGCCTGCCACCACTGCGACTGCAGTGAGGACTCGGCCCAGCACACGCTGGCGGTCTGCCCCGCATGGGCGGCGCAGCGCCGGGCCCTCACTGCAGTCATCGGAGTGGATCTCTCGCTACCGGCCGTAGTACGCTCCATGGCCGGTAGCGACAGTTGTTTTACCGCGGTCGCAACCTTCTGCGAGGTAGTAATCTCGCGGAAGGAGGCGGCGGAGAGGGCCCGGGAGGACGACCTCCACTCGGACCCGATCCGCCGCCGGCGAACCGGGCGGCGGAGGCCCACCTATCACAGCCTCATGCCGCCCTGAGTGTGGCCGCGGGTGGACGGGGTGGGTTTCCCCTCCACCCGCATTAGTTTGGCCAGCCGCGAGGGGGCGGCGTCCGCGTGTACCGGACGTCGCCTAAAGAGAGGAAAAAATATACTGAGACGGAGCCCGCACCAGGAGCGGGCTGGCGCTAGGAGGGCTCCGGATGTCTTAACAACAGCTGTTCCCGGATCCTTCCTGTTACAGGCGCAGAGTGGCACACCGTGTGGTTTTAGTCGGTTGCAGTGCTGTTGACCTGCGTAGTTTGCTCTCTTAGTTGGTTCTTACGACACCCACGGAATGATTAGGGGTGGTGACAGTCCGTATTCTTAATCCGTCATCACAGAGATGTTACTTAATATTATGTTCTAGTTTTATATTACAAATAAGAAAAAAATGTTTAAGTAGCAACTTACAATGTTGTCTTTAAATATTGCTGCTTACAGGAAGCAAAGGTTAACCGCTGATTTAAGATGTTAAAGTTGTGTCATGGTAGTATTTATAAATTGTTTTCTTATATTAAAGAAAATTCAATCAAACATTTGTAGTATCATTTTCATGTCATCATTTTGATAATAAAATAAATTTATCAGTTATCATTTTATTTATCTTTTCATTTTTTTTTACGCTTACAGTGAGGATCTTCAGTCTTTAAGATGCATATTATGCAAAGTCAGTATCATATTTTTTTAAATCGTATGTTAATTCTCGCCTTTACAATTGATCACTCAGAAAAGAATAGCAGGCGTTTGGTAAATAAATTAATAGAAATATTGTTTCTGACAGTTCCGCTAGTCATAATATTTCAAAGGAAGTAATTGTTTAGGTCTTTCTTTTGAACAATCATACTTCTGTAGTATTTAGTATTATGAAATATAATACGAAAATTTTAAACAGAGACTTGTAAACTATATAAGCATTTTTAGATTAAACGTACTAAAAATAGTCTGACTTGTCTGTACCGTTTTTAAACCGATATGGCGAACGGAGTCTTATTAATAAAAGTCGTTGGTTGGTGATTTCTAACATCTCATTTATACATAGACAATAGACAAAGTTTCACCTCAATGTCTCATAGATGGCGCTACTTGTATTAATTAACATTATATTTGATAATATTCTAACACTTATCATATCACACATCAACAGCCTTTAATAGTCCACTGCTGGACATAGCTTTACAAGGTTCTGGCCTACTACTTCTCTTTGCAGTGTTGTTGTTCTGCGTATTTTGCTCCTTACGACACCCACGGGATGAATAGGGGTAGTGACACTCCGTATTCTTAATCCATCACCACATGGAGTATAAACGATTGTTTCTTCTGTATTAAGTGTTTATCAAACATAATTGGAAACTGTTCAAAAGACATCTCACAGTTACATAAGTTTTTTTTTTTATATCATAAAATTTTTTGATAAAAATAAGGCGCACGGAAGCTTATTATACTTGGAATACTTGTTGTTTATATGTAAAACAAGATCAGAACTTAGTATTGACTGCACTAATGACGTCGTGGTTTAAGCGTTCACCTCGCCGCTTCTTACTGCGCTGAGTGTTATGGTTCGATCCCCACATGGGACACCACTTTGTGAAACACACAAAGTCACACAAACAACACTTAGGTGTACATTGTGTCTGTTTTATACATGTATGGAAAGTACACAGGATTCCTAGTGCGGGAGTTACAAAAAAAAGAGGAAAGTAAAGCGTGTTTAAATAGATGGTACAAAAGCCTATCAATGTTTTAATTTAGTATTTCGAATTTTATTCCTTACTGTTAAAGTTACAACAGAAACAATTCCTTACAGGCTTCATTTATCAGTTTGTTACCTGTATGCTAGTGAAGTGTTGTAATACAACACATGATCATTTTTAATTCAAAGGGCCAAATATCTTTATTAATCTGAAAGCAAGAAAAGCTTGCTTGGCAAAGCACTTGTGTCTTTCGCAGGTGTTCACGGACCCCGACAGTTACTTTCCATCCATTTTATTTTACCTCCCATTACAAAAAAAAAGTTTTTTTTTTTATTGCGTTCATGTGTCTTCATTTTGATATCAACGAGATATAATAAAAAAAAATACATACAGTGGAACATAGAACCTCCTCCTTTTTTGAAGTCGGTTAAATAGGCCTAGTTAAAGGTCGAAATAAAGTAAAAATAAAGATATTTTAAAAGTTATTTATTTACCTGTCTTTCTTCCCAAAAAAAAAAAAAAAAAAAAAAAAAAAAAGAAAAAAAAAAAATAAGACTTAATTTTATGTTAATGTTTAATTACCGCGCAAAGCGAGGATATGTTTAGTCAACGTCAATTGAATTTTTAATTCATTGCATATAAAATATAGGCATATTTGTCGTATGTATGTTACAATATTTACAAAATATACTTAATACTAAAGGATATAAAAATATTAAATACAAACTAAATGTTGGCAGTGAACAATTCACAAAAAAATATTAATTATAAGCAATATTTGACAAATTTTATAATTGTAAAATTATAAACTAATTTGTTTAGTTACTTTGTTAAATATGTAGATGTTCGCAAATACATTAAATCCTCCACATTAAAAGTTATTCGATTGCTGATAAAATTGAGACAATTACAAAATCTGTCATTTTAATTTATTATAACTATAACTACAGAACCCAATCCTTATTTAAATTATACTAATTATTAATATTACAGCTAAAGGCAGTGAGAAGCTAAACGGCTTGATTATCGCAAATCAAAACATTTCCCAATTCATTATCAGTCAGGTTCGTTAGTAATTTTTTTTTTTTACAATTAAGCTCATGTATAATATTTACAAAAAATATTTTACAAAAATAAAAAACCCATCTAATTAAATAACAATATTTAATTTACTTTAGTTAAATAATTTATTACAAACTGCATAATTCGATCGTTACAACATTTTTACTCAGTCGTTAAAATTCGTTCCTAAGAAATTCACCTTTGATGAACTGACTAACTAACCTGACCACAGAAACCCTAACCTGCAACATTCCGAATGAAGTGTGAAACATATCACTTTAAATAAATAATAGCTGAAGGCTGCAGGAGCGAGTACAAGCACGTGCTAATGGCACATGTAAGGCTTAAGATTATATAGAAACTTACAACTAACTCATTCTAAAGATTTAAAAAAAAATTGAAAATGCTCTGTCATATTAGCACAACATACTTTTTGTTTTATAACTTTTAACTCTAGTACCAACTATGTTTCATCATCAACAACAGCCTATAAAAGTCCTAGGCCTGGACATAGGCCTCTCCTAACTATGTTTATCTTTTTTTTATTTGTCACTTAAGAAGCAAAATTTTTTTTGATCAACCCATGATCGCGATCAGTGCAAAACGATCGAAACTTCAATAAAGGTATTGTAAAAAAGTTACAAAGATGACACGTGTTATACTTAAATAAGAAAGAAGAAGTAAGAAATTTGTATTAAAAAATAAAAGCAATTTTAACCGTTATTTATGTTGAATGTAAGTTTATTTTACCATTTTCGTCCCTATAAATGCTAAGCGTATTAATTGAGAAGAAATATTAATTTAAATACATGAAGCGACATCGCGTGATGTCGAAAAAATCCTTAAATAACATTACATTTTGTATATGGTAAAGATTGTTCTAGAAGTATTAGATAGATATTTATTAAGCTTTTAAATAATAAAAACTAAGATAGTGCTAACATCACATTGTTTGCCTAAGTCTATATTCAGACATATAGGTCGCAAACCTAAAGATGATATTGCCCAATATTGTAAAAAATATATTTTAAAAAAAATTATATTAAATTAGATTCAATTGCATTGATTGAAAACGTTCTTCTGCCTAGGAACTTTAAAAGAATCAAGTTCTATCGAAACAACATGGGTAATCAAAATCATTTAAATAATTTACAAATAGCCTAATGATTCCACCTTAGGTACTTGAGTACCGTTCAGTTTTAAAACAAACAATAATAAAGGGTGATTTTTAATGAAAAAATCTGTTTCTGTTGTCATTTGTATTGAGTTCCCCAGTGTGTTTAATCCCTAGAAGACTTTGAAGTTAACTACATTTTCGAATCAACACTATGTGTTGATAGGTCAGCCTAAACTGGCTGTCGGGTGCGTAGTCGGGCACGATACATGGCACACCAGTATATACCTTTTAATGTCGTTCCGAAATTAATGTATTTCTTTGTTAGCCACAATATACCAGTTGTTATACAGCCCACTGCATATTATTTACGGCTGACCCCCCAACACTATGAATAACACTTTACAAACGACTATTTACATTTGAGCACTTCAACACATTGTGCATACTATGACACTTTCGGAAAAGTTTCGAGTCCTGCGATTTGGAGTTTTTTAGAGTGACTATCCTGAGCCGCCGGAACCGTTGACGTAGACATCGCTGGCCGCTCTTTGACCGGCCCGAATTACGCTCTGGACGGTTTGGGCAGCGCCCTGTAATGCGATAAGAATTATGTTTAACAATTTTAAAACTCGCCAGTCTCATAATAATATTTAAAAATGTAGTAACGGATATTAAGTAAGTCATATTAAATTGATACCGTCTACATAAAACAAAATTGACGACCTTTTTGTGTTTGTTGAAATGCGCTATATTCATAAACAGTCAAATTGAATTTAAAAAAAAAGTATGGTATAAGTGATAATTCAAATTTATTTAAATACAGGGATTACTAACTTACTATGGGGGTTACTATTTAAGTAAATATTATAAGAAGTAGGTAACGTCCACACGAAAGAATTTCATATAAATTTGGAAAATCTATACTAATATTATAAAGCTGAAAAGTTTGTTTGTTTGTTTGTTTGTTTGTTTGAACGCGCTAATCTCAGGAACTACTGGTCCGATTTGAAAAATTCTTTCAGTGTTAGATCGCCTATTTATCGAGGCAGGCTATAGGCTATATATCATCACGCTAAGACCAATAGGAGCGGAGCACCAATGAAGAATGTTTCAAAAACGGAGAAAATTTATTACTATTGAGAGACGCAGACGAAGTTGCGCGGGTCAGCTAGTAGTTTATATGGAGAAGAATTAAGAAAATTAATGAAAGCGGTTTTTGGTTGAAATCCGAAGATCAAGTGATCTATACTAATATATTTCGTCACATAGAAGTCGCTAAAATCAGTATTGATAATTAATATTTTGTTACGATGGATTAAATTATACCTAATGTGATTTCAGATGTTTATGATTATAAGTAATTTAAGTTACTCTTTATGATGATTTTGTTAAAATAGCACAACTTACGATATCTTCTTGACAATCGGCCTTTTATTCCTAATAAAAAAAACTATAAAATAAAATGTGTTTAATTACAGGTATATAACAAAGAAAAAACTAAAAAGCACCTCTGAAATATAATTGGTACACATACAGTCACTGACCCCTTTCCACTGTCGGGAAAGAGAGAGCTTACCACTTAACTTACTCTATTCTTACCTACCTATTGGGTTTAATCTACTGTTTCTGTTTCGACTTCGACTGACCTGCGTTTTCTTCAACATCTTGTAATTTCACCTCAGAAATGTAAGAACTATTTCAAATTGAAATTACCTGTATCGCAGCTCCTAAGAACTGCGAGAAGGCTCGGGTTACATTAATGGCTGCAGACACGAGCTGCCCCCTACCGGGTGTCTGTTCAGATGCCACAGATCTCGGAGGCTCCAGAGGAATCTACATTTAAGCCGCGTTGTTAGTCATCACACAGTACAAAATACAACATAGAAATGGTGATGTATTTGCTAAGGCAGTGAGCTGTGAGGCGTTTGATGTTTTGTGGAAAGAGATTTGTTTAAAGATAAAAACTGACGCAATCTTTTGGATCTACTACTAAAAAGACGCCACTAAAATTTCTCATTAGATTAATAAATCCAGTCAAAGCAAAGTCTGTCCACAAAACATGTTTTTAAATTTGTGCAATTTTTTATTGTGAATGAATTTAGTGAAAAATAAAGTACGAAAAAATAAATGGAAACAGAAAGATATGCAGAGAAACGAATAAAAGCAGGCTTTACATAATTACATGTTAGGCAATAATGTACATATATACATAACGATACAAAAGAGTGGTATTAAAATATGTACTCGTACGTGTATTATTAGTTATAATTTTTTCATAGTAATTATGTGTTAAATATATTGAAGTTTCAGAACATTTACCATTTAATTATCTTATGAGTATACATAAGTAAGTATTAATACTGTACATTGATATTTTACATTCTGGTTTAAAAATACTTAACTACACACAAATACTCTTTAGTTTGATTTTAGAACCATAAGTATTTTTAATAGGCAGGCATTTGGCTTGGATTAGACATTTAGAGTAATTAATATTTTAGTTATTTATTTAAGACAATTGTTCATTATTATATAATATATATTTACTCACCAATTTTTATGATACACTGCACATTCACTTTTATTTACATTTCATACACACTAAAACTAACTACTCCATATTATTCTTAGTTGGGTGCTTTCTAGATACACTAAGTGACAAGAACTAACTAGATATTACATAGTTATATTATAAATGGTATCTACTAACTAATCCCTTGGGAAAATTATAAGTCATAACATGTTAAATGATATCAAGGAATAAGAACAGGTCTAGACTTTAAAAATAACGAAATAATTAGTTGTTTTGTTATACATATCAACCTTAAATAAAGATAAGTGAGGATGGGATAGGTTGGATAATATTAATACACGACAGACACAAACAAATAAATTAAAAACACTTTATTATACAAAAAACGCGCTGTTTACAGCACAAAGTTTATTTACAAGCCAATGAAGCCGATAATGTAATAAATAATTTAACTATGAAAACAAAAATGTTACAAAAGAACAAAAAATCTACATAAAAATTAAAATTACCTTCCTTAATAATTTCTCACTATTTACATCCGACCCGATCGCCAGTTCTATACAAACTATACAACACCAGACTTAGATTAAATAGGAACAAGTTATAAATAAGAATCTCAAAATATTTCTGAATGTTATTTGCGATATTTAATCTAAAGTCTGTTACCAACACCTCATCCCCAATCACATAATCTTAGTAATAACGATGTAAAACCCACTCTATTCGCTGGCGTGTCGTCAGCGTTGCCAACGAACGGCCCAGAGCCTAACCAACTGGCTCCATTACTCGTCGCTGTTGATGACATTGATGGCCTGGCTGATGGCGCAGGAGCAGATGCAGGCCCTCGGCCAGGCCTTGGTGGCCCGCTTCCAGGAGCCGTTTCTCGCCATTGTTGCCAGAGCCAAGCTAAGCCATCTAAGATTGGCCTCCGGGGTGCAGGCGGCGGTGGTGGCGGAGGTGTGGTTGTCCGCCTTGCCTTCGGTGTCACTACCACTTGGTTGAGTAAAGCCTAAAGGTTATAGTTAGATGTAGACTTCCTATTACATGATATATATAGTTTTCAAGATAAACAAAGTATAAAAGGATAGATGACAGATAAACGAATGGTGCAGTAAGCAGAGTGAAGTTGCGAATTGATTTTATTAGTAAAAATTTATGTGTTACCGTTCCAAAATATATGCCATGGAATCGTTATTTTGGATGAAGATTAATCTAAATGTTTACTAGATGTAAAATTAAGTAAGACTAACAGAGAGTCGAAGTTGCTCGTCCAAAGAACTTGCCGTGGTTGGGCCAAAGCCTTGCTCCTTCAACAATGCTGCTAGCAACGCGTCGTTACTCTTTCCATACTCGGTGCTCAAGGAGATAGGCGATTGAGTAGCTTCTGACACCATACCCGATGGTTTTTGTTGACGAACCAGCTTCTTCAGAGCTTCATCAGCAGATTGTCCTGAAACGTGTTCAAATACTCTTTTGTACAAAGTAGATACATAGTACCAGAAGCATTCAGACTCTAGACTAAAACTGACAGTTACAGAAATGTATTTTTTTAGGTTTTACATCAACGTGTGTCGTTGAAAATTGTTTATAGAGATGTGGTAGCATGATATAAATAGGTCACTATCTCTTTACACTTGTGTGATACGTTCCTATTTATACCAGATTAATCAATTCAGCCTATCTGAGATTCTACGGACGTTTTCTTTTGTTACATAAAGTAAATGTTATAACTTGTTTGTTTGTTGTTTATGTTTTAATTATGGTTATATTAGGCCGTATTTAAATTATATTTATTTTGAATTTAAATAGTTAAGTTCCATTAATTTAAACAATTAAATATAACAGATAGTGTTATATTAAAACCTACTATAGAATTTTCAATCATGAAATGTTACAATCAGAACTCTTAACCGTCAAAATTATTTTTTTATTTATTTACTATTTATTTAATTCTTAGAGATTGGTAAATATTGAGAATAATAAAGGAGAGAGAATGCCACCTTGAGGGACATCACAGTCAAGTTCACGCCAACGCGAGGAGGCAACATCGACGTGTACAGATTGTTGTCGCCCCTGGAGATATAGATAAGAACCATCCCAGTGTTTTAGGCGTAATCATAAAGCTATTATTTTTAACCTGAAAAATCAGTCAAAATTACTTTGATTCGCAACATCATACTATTCAAACCCAAGTGATTCACCAAAAACACCGAGAATCTGGCGATCGGTGTCCATTTGTTAGGTTAGAACGCGGTACTCAATAACATTAAATGGTATCTGACGCAGCAGTCAAAAGGATTATTATGACTGTCAAAATACTTTTGGCTGGTTAAGAGTTCTGACTGTAACATATATACATAGCTTTAGTAACTTCAAATTTGAAACCTTACCTGTTATGGTAAGTTTAGTCTTTTGAGTCGTCGTCTCCTGTACATCCTGTAATTTGATCAAAGTTTGTAACAATTTCTTATCGTCTTGCACACTTTTCAGATTATCTTTAACAGCAATTTTTGCACCAAAAGGCAACGCTCTAGCTGGAACAGTAGATCTGACATTTTCATTATTAAAGTTCATTAAAGGCCTCGGCGTTAGTGGATCAAATGGTTCATTCAGCGGTGATGGCGAAGCTAATAGATTTGAAAGTAGCTTCAAATCCTCGTTAACTGTGTTTAGCTCTTTTAGACTCACGTTTATATTTGGTGGTAATGTCGGTAAATTTAATTTAGATGGGTCTTGTCCTGTAGCTTTTAGTAATGCTTGGAGAAGTTTAGTGTCTTCTTGAAACTGTCTAATATCATCATCAAGCGATGGACTGTTAACAGTTGTTGTGATTCGTTGTGTTGTTGTGGGTCTCAGTGTTGTGGTTGTTGTGGTCGTAGTAGTTGTTGTTGGTCTGGTAGTCGTTGTTGGTTTATTTGTCGTTAGGGGTATTAAATTATTTGGACTGACTGCTATATTTTTCCCTGTACGAGTAGCATCAGATTTTCCAGTCTGTATTTCATTAAGACTTTTTTCGACAGCTAAAGCTATTATTCTATTGGCAAGTGCAGCTTCAGGATCATCATTCTTGGGATTTGTATTCAAGGCAGTTTTCTGTAAAACAATATATAAAATATAAATATTAAATAATTGATACCGTAACAATACTTTTGAACACTGCAGTCTCTCAAATTTACAGATCGGGAGATCAATATATCAAATTCTTTATAACCAATTTTTGTGTAAATTGTACACAAATTAAGATACATTTTGTGACTTTGCAACAACAGTAAGTAATATATAAAAGGGTGAGATAATATTACACAAAAATAAAGTTACCAAATGATACAGTAAAGAGGACAATAGGTCTGTCTCCTCAAGATACGGTCTGTCTATTGACCTTTATAAGGGAAGACATTTTTAAAGATAAAGTGTAAGGAATATAACTTTTAGGTTCTGAAGACAATTCACACATACCTTACTCCGAAATATTATTAAATAATTAAATTTTATCTAATTTACATGTTACTCTAAAGATTAACAATTTGTGTAACAATTAACAATTGTGACCAATTTTATTATTTATAAATCGTATTAATTTATGTGTCCACACATTTATTTTATTCTATTCTTTGAGCAAAAACATAAATACTACTCCATACTTACCAGATTATTAAGGAAAGCCAAGTCTTCTTCAACAGAAAATGTTGAGGTACTGGGCATTTCAGTTGTAGATGTAAATCCAGGAGCGCGACGGCCAGTGAGTACTGCACCCTTAGCTGTTGTTGTTGGCTGACGTCGTTGGTTAAAAGGTTGGAAAGTCGTGGATATTTTCACATTCTCGGTTGTAGGCTGTAAAGTAGGGACAATAGTTCTAGGAGCAAATGTTTTAAATATAGGACCGTTTGTTGTTGTGTACACAGGCCTAATGTTTAATGGAGTAGTTGGGTTCGACCCTAATGAAGTTGATTGAGGGTTGGAAGCTATCCTTACATTTGACGTCACTCCGGTTACAATTGGAATATTCAAATTTTGTGGATTTTGACCTGTGGCCTGTAAGAGAGCCTGTAACAATTTCGTATCTTCTTGAAACTGTCTGAGGTCGTCTTCAATTGATTCTGTTGTTGTTGGTCTAACCGTTGTAGTCGATCTAGCAGTTGTAGTAGTGGTAGGTCTAACAGTTGTTGTAGTTGGTCCAAATGTGGTTGTTGGTATAGTTTGCGTGTTCGTGGTAAAAGTTCGAGTTGTTGTTAAGCTATCTAATGATGGTATGTTTAGGTTAGCTGGATTTTGCCCAGTTGCTTGCAACAGAGCCTGTAAGAGTTTTGTGTCTTCTTCAAATTGTTTGATATCATCCTCTATAGATCTCGTTGTCGTTGTCACTTGTTGTTTTGTTGCTTCTCTTGGGACAGATAATGTTGTAGGGTTATTTAAATTTGTAATTAACGCTTGCAATAACTTAGCTGCATCATTTTGTTGAGTAGTAGTAGTAGATGCTGTTGTTGTTGTTTGTTGAGTAGTAGTTGTCGGTGCAGTGGTAGATGTGAGATCTCCAAATGAAAAGAAATTTGGATTTAAGTTTAAAGATTTAGGATCTCTGCCGGTGGCTTGAAGCAGTGTTTTAAGTAGTTGAACATCTTCTTGATATCGTCTTAACTCTTCTTCAACACTTAAAGTTTTTAAAGGCAGCATAGTTGTTGGAACCTGTGTTGTTGTTGGCGTTTGTGTGCTGACAGTTGCTTGGGTCGTGCTTGTCGTTGGCATCGTTGTTGTTGTTACCTGTGCAGGAGTAGTTGTCGTAGTTGTTGGCATCGGTGTTGTTGTTGTAGTTGTAGTAGTAGTAGTCGTAGTTGTTGTCGTTGTAGGTTCTGAAGTTGTTGTGGTGGTAGATGGTAAACTCGTAGTCTCAGGTGTGTCAGGAGTATTTGTGAATGCCGAAGATACCACTGTTGTTTCCGGCACAATACTTGTTGTTATTTGAAATGTTGTAGCTTCAGCAGTTGTTTCTTGAGTTTGAATCTGTGGTGTTTGAGTATTAATTTCGGTCACTGATGTTGCTACTACTGTTTGAACTTTAGATTGCCCAGATTTTGTTGGAGGAGCTTTTGTTGAAGATAGTTTCAGTACATTAGAATCTTGTGTTTGAATCATAATTTCATCTATTGGTATAAATTTAAATACCGCACTTGTATCACCTTCCCCTGGTTTTTCAGTTCGTATTTGTTTTGTCTGAAAATTATTTTGATTTTTGTTAATAGTTGTAGCAGTGTTCGTTGAGTATTTCTTGAAAGACTCTATATGCTTATAATAAATCAATACTCTACTGTAAACCTTCACCACTTACCTTTGCTACGTATCAAAAAAGTCAAGTTACACTACATTATAAAACCAAATCCAAGTGTTATGGTTGCGTATGAAAAATGTGTGAACCAGTAATCGTGAACATTAGTAAGTAATACATAAATAAGGAAATGATTATATAAATAATATTACGAGTATAATTATACCTCCGGATCAATATCCAGTGTTAATATTCTTGGTTCGCGAGTAGAGCTTGTCATTTCTGATATGACCATATCCTGTTTAGCGGCCGAAGATATACTATTAAGCAGAATCTCATCAATAGAAGGTAGCATTGTAGTTGTGCGTAAACTCAGTACATGCGAGGCAGTGCTTTTTTCTGGCATATTTGTGGTAATTATACCGTTACTGCTTTTAAAATTAAGTGCCGATGTAGATATCTGCAATTACGAAATAAACTGTTACCGCCTGGCGGGGTCAAAAGAAGCAGTTATAATGCATGCATGCAGAGCTTACGTTATATCCGCATGCCCCGATCGCCCCAAAACACGATGCGGCTGCTTATAAGGAAGTGGGGAAGCACAAAGCGCAACATTCAAGCTAAACAACTAAAAGTCAATACCATCGTTTGTTGGTTATTTACAGTGTCGTTGGTTAATCTTTCCGTTCCGTTATTTGATGTGTCTGTGGATGTCACAGTATTAGTGGATACTCGGATGGGGTTAGACTGTGGTCTGACTATGGCCGGATTGTTATGGATTGGGCTGTATGGATTTCTTAGACTCCATGGGCTGATTGGTAGTATGTCAATTTTTTGCATGACTCGTGGCACTCTAGTCCCATTCGGGAATTTACGTATTACTGTGTTATTGGGTAGTATACCATAAATTATGTATGGGCTTGCTTCTGTTAATGTTTCCAATATATCCTGGTTAGGATCTTTACGTACCACAGTGTTGTTGGGTAAGATCCCGAATATAACGTAATCTTTTTTCGGGATTATTGATGATCCGATATTCAAAGTATTAATTGTTGTTGGTATGGTGTTACTGTCAGAAGCTTCAGCAGTTGTAATATCTAAATTTGTAGTACTTGTTTCAGTAGTTGCTTGTGTTGTAGTCTCCATGGTAGTAGCAGCTGTTGAAGTAGTTGTTGTTTCTGCACTTGAAATAGGTGTAGTGGTAGCAGTGCTATCTTGGAGTCGACTTAACACTTCAACTAATCTATCATTCGTTGTAGGTACAGAAGTAGAAGTGAAAATGTCATTTGATGCTGTACTGATTACTGTAGTACCAGAAGACAAGGTAGTTGAGCCACTGTTGTTTTCAAAAGATTCAGAAGAGGGTGTAAAGGTATAGGGTTCAGTCGTTGTAGGTACATCAACATTTACTACTGTTACTGTTGTTTCGGTAGGGTTTGTTGTAAGAACAATTTCTGATTTACCACTTGTAGTGGTTTCGGTTGAAACAGTCGAAAGGGGGTTGATTGTAAAGGATGCAGTAGTCATAGGTGACGTAGTTTCAATATCACGAGTCGTAACAATTTCAGTCGATGTCGAAGAAATCATTGTATTCACTATATCACTCAAACGATCGGATAAATTAACAGTATCAGATGACCTAACTAAGTCAGTTAAAGGCGGTGCAGTCGCTAGTTCTGTATTATGTTGCCTTATTAAGTCTTCTATCATTTTCAAAACTTGAGCCTTTTTGGATAGCACCCATAATTGTAATGGGGATATTTTATTAGGACCCACATCTTGTGGGGATGATACTCGTGTGGATAATAGGGATAAGGGATTAGCAATTGTACTTGAAGTACTTTCAATGTCATCGTTGTCAGAGAAACCTGCATCACGGGAGTTGGTAAAAAAAGGTACAGGGACAAAGTTGTTAGTAGAATTACTAGATATTGTGTCATTAATCGTGTCTATCTTAAAACTGTCTGTATCTAAAGAGGCAGGTGACGTAGCTAATCCCGAATTCACTGTGATGCTTGTCGTTTCAGAACTAGACCGTTGAGAACTAGCCAATAAATTTACTGTAGTTGCAGTAGCAGCTGTAGTCACTTGCCTATTAGACTCAGAACTAGGGATTGCTGTGGTCCCTGTGGCAACAGGGCTATTTACATCAGCAGGGATTGGTGCAACTGTAGTGTTTACATTTTTATCTACAACTGTGATATTTACACTACTGTCTGTAACTACATTTTGAACGACATTATTGGACTCAATCCCGTCAATTACAATATTTTCTGTGTCTTTAATGTCATCCAAACTGTAAGGCGTTGTATTAGGAATTGCATCAGCATTATCAAGTGCAGTTGCAAGTCCATTTAAAGCTCGAGGGATCAAAGTTCTTAAAAATTTATTCATATCTACAGTATTTAACTTTGACCGACTATTTTCATCCATATTTTCAATAATATTTTTTATGTTATTAGACAACATGCTAGTTAGTTCAGACGACACTAAATTATTATTAGACAACAAAAGATCAGACACTGAGTTATATACCGTTTTTGGGTTGTCAGTCGATCCCTGAGTTGGTTGAGATGCAGTCGTGAGTTTGTCGGTTGATGATTCTGTATCTGAGTATAGAATTCTAATAGCAAATGGTTTTCGTGCGGAAACTGGAGTGGTAGGAGTAGGAGTAGATTTAGGAGAAGGTACAGAAGTTTGTAATGTATTCACAGGGATTGAGTTTCCGTCTTCTGTGTTTAGTGACTGTGTAACAGTTCCCTCGACCAAAATACTGTTAATCACATTTGGTGTCTGAACAGTGGGCTGTACAGTTTTAGTAGTAGTGCTTACATCGGCGTTTGTCAACACAAATGTATCCTGACTCACTAAGCCCCGGACACTATTTACATTAACGTTGTTACTCACGCCGTTGAGTACTTGTTTTACATCTGTATTAAGGGGTTTTATTTTCGTCATTTCTGTTGTTGATGATAGTCGTGGTCGTGGTGTCGACGTAAGTATTTCAGCTAAAGCATCAAATATAGAAATTGTAACGGATGGTGAGTGATGTGACGCCTCAACGTTCATCACGTGTGATGGCTTAACCAGACTCTCGGACAGTCTCAAATCTGCCGAGTCTAGTGTCCTTCGTGTTTGAGTAAAGGAAATAGCATTCAAATCTGGCCCTAATTGTATTTCTTCTCCCTCTACCTGAAATAAGAAGTAATCTCACCCATATAAACAGAAAAAAGAATAAGTTTTTGTGTAAAATCATTTAATTTTCAAAAGTAATTGCTATATAAAATGGAAATCTAAAGTTGGAATTCGTGCGAAGACCAAAGCCTCTTTATGATATTTGGAATTAAGATAGTGGTAGCAAGGTACGTTCAGTTATTAGTGTTAAAGTGAAAATTAGGTCATGATGATATATAGTAGGCATTAAAACAAGATGTAATATGTATACAATTTTAATATCTTAAAATTATGTTAGTGTATGCTTAACTACATGTACGTACATTAGTACGATAACCAATGCGTTAAATGATAATTTGTTAAACACATTTAACGCAACGGTTTTCTTTAAAGACGTAAGTAAAGACTTTTGTTTTAAAGAGATTCAATAATCAACTAATTAAACAAAAACTATTTTTATTTGTAAACCTCAGAAAAAAATAAATGCTCTTAAATTCTACATCTCTTTAAAACTAAATCTAATTATTTTACAACAGGGTGAATAACATGAGCGATGAACGTGATGATGTTAATTAAATGATTCCATTAACCGGTTCTAATGATGATTCATGAATGTATGGCGTTGTATTCAGTCTTGACATCGACTCGGTAGTGTAAATGTCTCCTTCGAACCAGTTTGGCTCTTCTACAGACTTTGTCAACAGGTGATCAGTGACGTAGAATTTCAGCCAAGCCTTTAAGAAATTTCTTATCATTAATGCTGCAATGACATACTTGAATCTATAGCAATGAGAATATAGTTAGTTAAATGCAGGTGATGACATTTATGTGCCTGAATGAATATTATAAATTAAAATGCGATGTATTGCTTGTTTTTGCGAAACATATCAGTAATGCTTCTATATATTTTTATATTACAAAAACAAGAAATGACAATTTTGACTATGATAATTTTGAAGATATACTTGTACAGACAACTCGCTGCTGCCATTCTGCCTTATTAAAAACACGATGAATTTGACAGTTCAAGAGGATTTCAAGTGATTTACGATAACCTTTCTGGTGGACCAAAATTTCACGTTCCACAAAATTATACATAATATAAGACTTCATAAATCTATCACCTTTCACATAATAGTTTTACTAAAATAAAATAAATGTAGAAATGTATAAACACTTATGCATGTTGTGCGTTGACAAGGTATTTCATCTTTTACTTAATTTATTTTTATTATTATTACACGTATAATTTTGTTTTGTTTTTTTTTTTGTTTTTAAAAAGACAACTCCCGCATTGGGAATAAATCCTGTGTCGCGGGGGACTTTACGAACATACATGAAACGGACACAAAGAACACCCAGACTCAGAACAACAATTTGTGGATCACACAAAGTGTCGTCCCATGTGGGGTTTGAACCCACAACACTCGGCGTAGTAGGAAGCGGCGTGGCGACCGCTTAAACCACTACGCCATCCGTGCAGTCTTGTTAAATTGTTAAAGAACTTGTAAATAAAGATATATAAGTGCACTATTTCGTCATTTTTATCAACAACATGCTTGAATGAATATCGCGTCTCACAACTTTTAATGTAAATAGATATAATTATTGACACAATCACATTCCTGTTGGAGCTTTATTCTTTCATCCGTATCCGTACAAGTATATTGAGGTGATACCTTAATGCCAATTCAATAAAGGGGCTTTGATGTATGAGCTGTTAGCAATTATTATCAATCAGGGAACAGGAGAAGGTGTAAATTTTGAATAACTGAGTACATGTCTTGTTAATTGTGATATTATATTACTTACAGTTGACGGTGTTATAGTAGGTACAGTAGGTTTGTAAAATGGCTTATCTAAATACGAGGCTCTGTACTTAGAACTGAACCTATTCTTAGTTTTTTCTGGTTCAGGTGTAATCTGTAAAGTTTTGTTATGACAGTGAAAATATATGGAACATCTTATTAAACTAAACATTTTGTGAACATTATGTACTTACCCCATTGTTTGAGGCCTCAGTTGTCTTAGAGAAGGATTCACTGAATTTCCTGACGGTTCTAAATGTTTTAGGACTAGTTACAACTACATCTTTATTAGTAACAGACTTGGTACGATTTCGTCCATACTTTCTTGTTTGAAGGTTTCTGACCAATGGATAAACAGTTGATGAAGTTTTTTCTTTGTTGTCGGTATTTTTTAAGTTTTGATCTTTGTAATTTGAATGATATTTATATCTATCAGACTCCTGCTTTGTTGAAACTATTGGTAAAACGTTAACAACAGGCTTATTTTCAGATTCTTCAGCAGTATTTGTAACTTCATTACTAGTAGTGTTTTCTAAGGACTCCTTGCTTGTTACTGCTATCAAAAACATATGATTATCTTTATTTTCAGGTTGTGTATCTATTCTTACAGCTTCAGAATTATTTAGTAAAGCAAAAACAAATGGAGTTTCCACATTCTCTTCAGACTTTTTATTAATTGCTTCAGTTGTTTCTTCTTTGAGAGGATCCATAGTAGATGAAATATCATTTTTAGTTTTCAAATTTCTTGTCTTTGTATAGAAAGACGTTCTGGGTAAAGTAGGTCTTTGTAAAGGTTTTAAAGACTCTTTCCTTATTCTATTTCCTGATATTGTCGTTTCATTGCTAGTAACAAGCTTCGATTCGTTCTTCCCTTTAGACTTTCTTAAATTAAATGGAGGTCTAACGAAAGGTTTTTTTATCTCTTGGCTAGATTCAACGGATTTACTTTTTACGGAATCAAGTTTTGGTAATTCTGTCGTAGACACTTTAAGTTTTCTACTGTATTTAAAACTAGATTTTTCTGAACTAGATTCACCAGAAGTGGTAGTTCGTGTGGAAGACGGTGTGAATGTAGACTTCCTATTTCTTGGAGCATAGGTGCCTCGTGGCTTGTACGTTTGTGACCTTGACACTTCCGGAGCTGGTGTAGTCTCCACTGTTTTACTGTTCACTATGTTATCTACTTTTGGCTCTTCTGCTGCTTGCTTAGTACGCCACTGTGAATATATGGGTAATTGTTATTTAGTGTCTATAGAAAAACATACATGTTTAAACTTTTAATCATGATATGTCTGAAGTTGTAATTCTAAGCAGAATAAACAACTGTATTTAAATAAGCTGAACTCTAACTGATGAAGTTTAAGTGTGTAAAGTTTTTTAAGCATTATTAATGAATTTGTTTTTGCTTTTATGTGATACCTAAAAAGTGTTTACCCTTGAAAATTTGTTTGTGCTTGGGCCTGTTAGTGTTGAATGTGATGATGTTGTCGAGTACGTTTTGTGAACTTTTTGTGATCCTTTCAGTGATAAACTCTCGGTAGTAGGAGAGCTCACCTGTGTCTGAAAATTATTTAAAAAATCAGAAGTAATAGGAGCAAATAATTTTATCACCTTAAAATTTTTTTAAGGTTACAATTTTAACTTTAACACATAAGGAAAATATAAAAATGTTATTGTTGAAATTTGTTTATTATTTTTTGTGTTTTTAAATAACACAAATGAGATTGAGTATGTGAAACAGAATGTCAACGTGCAATCGTAACGATAAATAAATAAATTAAAATTTTCAAACATCCAATGGATACAAATGGGGAGGATTATTGATCATAGTGTTATACTGAACCGAATAATTGCCAATAAAATAGACTTTCATTACCGCATATTATTTTTATCATAAATTCACAGAAAGGTATTTATTATTGAAATACTATAATAATAAGCTAAAAAAAGCTCACCGACGCATTCTTAGCTTGTATCAAAGCCTTGAAACTAGCGGGATAATTATCGTCTTCGCTTATTTCATCGGAAACCTTTGAAACCGTAGCCAAGGATGCAGTTGGGCGAAAGTTCGCATTTCGTCTGCTGGGCACTGGACGTTTTATCACTTTTGTCACTTGAGTAGTAGTTGTCTTAGGTTCGTTGGTCTCTGTGCTTTGTTGGATAATTGTTTCCGCCACGACTGGAGCAGTATTTGGTGTTACTTCTTGACTAGTACCGCTCCTTCGGTTTTGACTAGATTTAATAACTTCGTTAGCTGACAGGAGCCCTTTACCTGTTAAATTTGTATCAGTTTCTGAAGGCCGAGTTCTGTATCTCAATTTTTTCGAGTTTCTTAAATCAGGAGCAGATCTAGCTGTGGTTGGTGTTTTTTCTACTTTCGTTAAGGTATTAATAGTTCCTGAGACAGCAAGATCGAGTGATCTCACATTTGGGCGGGTGTTGATGCGACCTCGCGATCTTTGTGGTGTTACGCTTTCTGTAGTTGGAGGTATATTTCTGCGTCTGAATTGATTGGCCTCCGTTGCAGCAGTGGGTGCTTCTGTAGGAATTTTAGTTATGTCATCTAGGTTAGAATTAATAATTTCGAGTTTGCTTTCGTCACTAGCAGGCGAAGTAAGTTCCACGGATGCAAGAGTAGTAGTAGTTAAAGTTGGTCGTCTGCTGTGCGCCCTAGACCTACTGCGGTTGACAGTATCCTTTGTTAATGTAGAATCTTTATTAGATTCTAAGTCAGTAAGAGCAGGTTGACTCCGTGTGCGAGTTCTTCTTGAATCAAATCGTTCGTTTTTTGGCGTTGACTGAATCTGAGCTTGTGCAGTAGGAGGGATTTCAACTCTAGTTCTCGTCCTCGTTCTTACGATATTACTTTGAGAACTAGTTTCTTCATGTCTCTTGGTACCCCTCGATTTAAACGTTGGCTGGGCTGCATCTTGTCCGATGCTGGGTACGATGTTACTGTCAGAAGCTGAGGGTACAGCCAACCTTCTACTTGTTCTCGTAACACCTTCAACCTGTGAATTGAAATAATTTGTCTTATGTATGTGTCATAAAAGAACAGAAAAACTTTATATATGAATGTAATTATACCATTCTTCACCTGAAATAAGATAAGCTGACCACTTAACAAACATAATAAGTGAAAGTGTAGTTATCAATTACTAATGCGTAACGTTTAATGAGTGGCGCTAAAATGGAAAGTGCCATTTGCAACAATGCATTATAAAATCTTAAACAAAGAAAGTGCAGTTAGAACAATACTGGACGTCTACAGTGCAGTCGTTGGAACACATCAATCATTTACTTAATATGACATAACTTATCATTTAGTTTCATTTGAGATAAGAAGATCTCATGAAAGCTCGAGAAACATGTAATCTTCGGAATTGCGCACTAAAAACGTTGTTAAACAATAAAAAGTTAAAGACGATATTATTATCGTTCGTTAGAAATATTCCGATCGGTCATTCCAGCAGAGTTAAATAGAAAAAAAGCGTTTTTTGTAATGCATTCCGCCTAACCTTCTGTTAAAAATATGGTGGAATTCTTAATACCTTTAAATTTTGTATAAATAAGAATAAAAATATTTAGCACGCGTTTTATACAAAACGGACAGATAGATATTTAAAAAAAATATACATTTTGGACATCTGACACACAACGCCATCTAGTTTCAAACTAATCAGGGCTTGTACTAAAAAAGCTAGATTGACTAATAGAATACTCATAAACTTTTATTTTGTAAATACTTACATAATATACATAGAAAACATCCAAACTTTGCAGAAACAAATATTTGCAGATCATGCAAACATTTGGTCCGACCCGGGAATCGAACCCAAGCACAGTAGTCGCATACACGATATAGGATATGTCTTAAATATGGGCCTGGTGGTCTAGTGGTTAGTGACGCTGACTGCTAAACCGGAGGTCGTGGGTTCGCTTCCCACCCAGGGCAAATATTGTGTGATGAGCACAGACATTGTTGTAATTTGTGTCTGGGTGTAATTTATCTATGATATTTAACTATTTAAAAATATATAGTAATAAATATATAGTATGTTTATCAGCAATCTGACTACCTTATTGTACTATGGTAGTCGTAGTAGTAGAGCCTGTAGGCTCTGCCTAGTTTGAGATCAGACGGCCGTGTGTGAGATATATCATATAAAGGGTTCTAGATAATGATAACATATTAGCCTCCTTTATCAGTAAGGTGCACCTGAAGTGAGAGGCAGCATGTGGCTTTGTCCGTGTGACACTATTTAGGGCCGAGTGAACACGTGTGGGCCTATCATATATATGGGACCGTAGTATAATGTAATAATTAATTAGACTATAAATTTTAATACTAACAACTTAAGTGGCCACACGTTAAGTACCGGCCTCGTAATCATTTGATTACGGGTTCGAAGCTAACTTCGAACTGCTATCAAGATCTACAGTTTAGTTACTTTCAGTTTTTATCGCAAAAAGACAACAGATTTTAGACCACTCTTAATAAGATACTAGTGGTGTTAAGATATTTTTTGCTCGCAGCTAAATATAGTATCCTGACTAATATTAAAAATGCTAATATTATTTTGTTCGTTTATTATGCGTTTACGCCTAAAGCGACCATGATAAAAACTTGCACCAACTTTGATAAAAGAATAGAGGTGGATGGACGTATGCTTTTTTTACTATTACTCTGGAAAAGATTATTCTATTCGAGGGATAGAAAAATAAATTAAGGGAAAAGGAAGCCTCGTGCTATATTTATTTTAATTGATTTTAAAGAAAGTTGAATAGACTTTAAATTAGAAATATAACATAAACTTAAAGGCAATCTTATTACACTGTATAAAATAAACTGGTAGGTTTAATATTTATTGTTAGGGCCGAAGGCTTGAATAAAAAAGAAAACATATCTATGGTGGCTACTTTTAAAAGTATTCAATGTTTGCAGCTGTTCGAAGTTAGTTAAAAACCTATTTAGATCATCATTTACAAATTAACAATTATCGCCAATAATAATATTCGGCAGTAAATGTCAGTTACGTTTTCACACCTAAACAACTAAACTTTTTGGTTTTGGAAGACTTATGTGGTTCCCACACACGAGAGGGTCCCATCAGCCGTAGATGACTCGGGGTACGTCGGGTTACCAGGGATTTCCTTTCTAGAGTACACCCGGTTACCCGGCTACTGGTACCCGAGAAGGCGTGCGGTTTTTTGTTGGTTCGAGTCACGTAACCACCGGTGGGTGGTATCCTAGGGTATTTCCGCACAAAAAAAGGCTATCCTAGACTTTGTGTGAGGAATATTCTAATCGTCAATCCATATTTTAATTTTAGTAGTAACAAGAAACTGAATATTTTTAAATATGTACTCGTATGATGTCGAAAATACATATGAATATATTTTAAGTTTTGTACTATGTATAAAATTGTTGTGTGATTCCGCCTGTGATACCGTTCTTAAATAGATCTATTTATATAACTATTAAGAATTATTTTTTCATTTCACCAATGTCACAATATAAAGTTTGAAATTTACAAATGTTTCTATAGATAGCCTTGGGCTACCGCTCAGGTGCTGGTTGGTTACTCACGACCAAATATCTGGCGTTACTCCACGACACGAATTAACAATACGTCAGTGTGACAGTTTTATTATTAAGGAACATGCACATTTGCATTGGAGAGAACTAATAAACATTCATTCATAACTTATGAATGAATGTTTATTAGTTCTCTCCAATTTAGTAATTAGTAATTAAGTTGTGAGCCTTTACTTTTTTAGAATCATTCCACAAAAAGTGTGAATGTCAGATTGCGCTAGTGTGGACAATAATCAATCATTTTTTCTTGGATTAATTTTAATAAAATTGAAATAATAATACATGACAACAACGCTAATAGCGTGATTCATTAATCTTTTATTTTACTTGATTACAATATAATATTTGATTTATTTTTAAATTGTTTCACCATTAAAGCACGTCTCTTTTGCATTTAATTACGTATAATGCAATTTAGTAACTATAATTATTACTCTAAGAATATGTATGAGAGCAAAGTGCTTTCTTACAAAAATTGCAAAGTGTGCACGCCTCTCTATGCAAACAAGGTCAGTCTTTCTGTAACCAGCATATTGGTGACCAGATTTGATTATTTTACGCGAACAATAATAACTGTGGGGCGCGACTTTGTATCGTGATTTAAGTAATTTGACTTAAATGAGACCAGATATCTAATATTGAGAGGCAGTAATTGGATTTATACCACTGATATATACAAAGTTATTGCATAATTATAGTTTACTTTGTAAGCATAATTTCTCAATTGTATTGTTTTATTTCCGTGTAGTAAGTTTTAAAATTTGACTTTCCAACGTTTTATTCAAAATGTATATTGATTTTTTAAAGATTAATTAATTACTATCTACTCATTGAAAGTTTTTTTAACTTTACGTTTAGTTACTCTGAAAGTTATTTAAGCAAGTCTTATTTTATTCGCCTGGTTACCATTGCTTATGAAAGTTAGCAGTTCCTGACCAATCTTGAGCTTTGCTGGTCTTTTAACAACTTTTTGACCATACAACTATACTGCGGTCCTTCGTGCAAAATCCAACAAAAAGCTCATTCCACAGCCGGAGCTGTACATAGCTCCTTTGTTTGTGTCTAAATATTTTTTAGTTCTTATCTTTAATAGGTATCTTTTCGTTATTTTTACTAAGATTACAACATATAATCATCGGTGTTATATCTCAAAACATCCTAATTGTATATACATATATAATTGTAAATAATATAATGTAATACTCCTATTAATCATCCTTCGCATTCTAGTAAAGCATAAATCATTTTTTAAGGTAAATATTAAGTAACGGATTTTATCAGCCATTTAAGTTGTGTTTTAATTTTTGTTGAATTCCTTATGTTACATAGTACGCTCACCGTAGCAGAACAAACTTGATTAAAATATTTTAGTAGCACAATCCAGCACTTTTTATGTACAAAGTTATTACAATTTAAGCTATATTGTAGCTGTATTACAGCCTATAATCTAAAGTTGTAATTATAGAACGAAAGGTTTCTCTCCGGTGTTTAAAATAAAAACGGATTACAAAATCATTACAAAACTGCATTTCGTAGTCAACACAAATAATAAAATAAAACTAATCTTATACATAATAATATGGCAAAATCAAACAAGTAACTACCATGCAAGCGCATTACAGAAAACATTATTCAAATTCGAATTATTTATTTCGGACGAAATTCATCCATATAGTGTCAGTAACCGTGTGTAAACTAGTGTTAGTATTAAATAATATTATTAATAAATATAATTACTTTTGTATGTGAATACTACCTCTGAGTGTGGGAGGAGTCTCACCTATCTGAAAAAACATTCAGGATGCTGTTGGAGGAGGAGCGCAAACCCCTCAGCATGGAGGCGTAACGTAGCGGTGATCCCGTCAAAAAATTTAATTTGAAAAGCTACATTATCAGCGAGTAACATAGGCTACTTTTTACCGCGATAACCGACATACACACGGGCGGAGCCGCGGGCAAAAGCTAATAAATAATATATTAGACATACTTGTCAAAGTCTACTATGTAAACCATATAAGTACTACAAACACGAATTATAAAATGAGTCATCAGTATTCATCATCATCAACAGCCCTTAGTAACCCACTACTGGACATGAGCCTCTGTTTAGAAAGGAGGATTGGGCCTGCTATTCTACGTCAGTATACGTATAAATAATATTCTAACAAAGTAGTATAGTAAAATAATTAAAACAACTAAAACTAAGTAAATATAAAATGTAATTTTTATTTCGCTGAACAATGTCGAATGTCAAATAGCCTGCTCCCTACCCAACTAATGCACGAGGCGCACGCGCCGACTTTTGTTCTTACTCACGCGTGATTAATCATTATTTTACTTATGGTTTCAAACTTGTTTTTTGTCTACATTGATGCAGTACATTGAATTCGCAATGCTCTAATCGTAATTGTAGCCTACAGCGAGGTTAAGAAAGTAATTTTGGAACTAGATTTCGTATACATTACGATTTATTTGTAGTATATCTAGATTA